TAAGTTTAATCAGACGTTTAGCTAGCGGCTCCAAACATCAAGATGGTTTTAGTGATTGTTATCAAATTCTACTAACCATAATTAAGGTCTATAACCACCCGCAAACGAAGAATTTATGAATGGTAACGAAAGAAGCAATTAATACCTAAACAATATAAATGTTATGCGTGGATGCCTTCGGTTTTACACGGTTCAACACTAGTATAGTAGAAGTATCAACATTAAAAATGACAACGAACGTGTTTCATTCTAACAATATCATTTTTGTTTGGACTTTCAAAAAATGGGCTTGATATTTTTCTTGATTATTTGCTAAAAACAAATACTGTTTTGCGCGTCAACACTTTGATAAAATAATTACTATTATTATTAAATCAAGGTTTTGTCATCAAAATGATTCACTATGATTCCAAAACAAAATAGTTTTGTTTGGACTCGAAAAAAATAATCAATTGGTTATGATCATTTTGTCTTTCTTTTTGTTAAAAAGTCTAATTAACGTTGAGAAGTAAGGTTTGAAAATAAAAATACTATTTTTAAGGGTTTGTCAATACTCTGACCACATGCACGCATACGCCTTCCTCTTTATTGGGCTAAAGGGTTGACCAAATCCCCTCAACTCTATTATTGCTGAAGTTAAATTTACTAAAAATTGAAAGAAATAAATGACGAAAAAGAAACTTATTATTCATTCAATGAACATCAATTCAGATAAATTAGGTGTGGACTAAATTCAAAAAAAAAAAAATCCAATGAATATTATTTTCTTATGTCATCTTAATTTCTTCTTCTTCTTAGGGTGCAAATGGTAACAGCTGAATCTGGCTGAATTGCTGAATTTAGCTGAATTTTTAATGATTTTTTGCGGAATTTGGCAGAAAAACTTTCGATTCAAATGGTAACAGCTTAATCTGGCTGAATTGCGGAATTGTTGATTTTTTATTAAACTAATAAAATATTATTAAATTTTTTTTCAAATTTAGAATTGTTTTATGTTTATAAATGTATTAAATTTCATATAAAGTAATAATTTTTTTTTATTAAAATTTATCTTCAGAACCTAACTTATTTCATCAATGTAACGCCCCGACCGCCGTCGAGCTATCGGTATGCAGGGAAAATCCTCATCCCCTCGAGAGAAATCCTCATCTTTCAATAACATACAGGGAAATCATCATCCCTTCAAGAGAAAT